TACCGACAGAGAGATTATCTATGTAATAATTGGAAAATACAAAGAATTCAGGAAAGAAAAGAGTGCTTTATAGCCTTTACCTGGCTATTTATTTTCCTTTTCTTCCTATCAAAGCACTTGGAAGGGGTTTCCCCAGATTTCAATTCCCCAACTTGCAGTTCATTTCGACCATTACCACCACTGGATCGAGTTTCATCAGACATATGACTGCATCCAGGTTTATCTACTTTAACTTCTTCGTTGGCTCCAACATGGATCACAGTTCCTGCATCATTCTTGAACCCATCTCTTACTGCCGTAGAAGCATCCTTTGGAAGTTCACCGACATTTAGTTCATTCCCCGAGCATTGTCCTCCATGAGCTTGTTTGGCTACAGTTCCCACTGGCATATCCTGCAGCCGTTGCATTGTTCCACACACTTGAGAATACAAACCAATTGGTTCAGGAACTCCAAGAGGTTGGTTCAACATTTCACCAAAAATCCCACTACCGTAGCACGAAAACCTTGCAGCACGAGTAATGAAGCCCGAATCAGCTGGGATCTGAGCCATGCTATGGGGGAAGAACCCATTTGCATTAGGCAGAAGAAGAATGTCTCCATTAGGCAACGGATTAGAAAGATTCCAACCCGTTTCAAGAGGTCTATCAACATTATTCCTGAAAGAGCCAAGATTGCCATCTGCAACACCCAATACACCCGAAGAACCTGCATCAGTCTGGACACTGAAACTGCCAAACCCTGTGGTCTGTACACTGGAGGGATCATGCCATAGAGCTTTACTAAATGAATTCATCATCTGAGATTGAGAAAAAGATGATGGACCAACAGACATAGGATCCCCTGGAGGATATGAATCCGTAGGCAAAGACACTGGATTAGAAACACAGACTCGCCAGTCTGCTGGCTTGTTAACCGAATCACAGCTTACATTATTAACACTACTGTTCTTCTCTACCGCAAACTTGTCTTTGTCACCTATGTGATCCATGTCTCTCCAGCTTCTGAACAGCTACCAAAACAGCCAAGTCCTGAATTAGCTTCTCTACCGAATCGTACCTTAACATGAGAGCTTCAGCCTCCAAGACCAGCACACTGTATATCTCATTAAGGCTTGCAACAAAAGCACATTCACGGGAGTGAAATCAAATGGCACCTGAGGAACATTTAAGAACATGAAATGTAACCGTGAATAACGAGAAAGGAATGACTACCAGCTTGATCAGATGAGTAATAAAAGTTACCCGAGACATAAGGCCCCATCAAAAGAATCAGATCAAATCCATGATTTGATCGTATTGACCAGAAGCACTATCAAGTACTGAGATGAAGTTCAAAAAGGTGCATAAACAGTCAACGGACACCATGATTTCCGTACAGACACTCAGAAACGGTCTCCTAAGAAACCCTAACCAGATTTTAGCAGAGATTGGAGCTTAGAAGCATCAAGAGAAAGGCACCCATTACAGATACTGTGCCCCTCTTTGAACAAGTTCAAATCTTTTTCCTCAATTTCTTACCAATCTTTATGGAACTGGGTCAGTTCTCAGCCGCAACAACAGATTAGAGAGAAACAGCGAAAGTGGTCGCCTTTTAGAGAATAGAGATATAACACGGGGAGAAAGAGGAGAGGAAGAAGCAAAAAGAAATACAGGAAA